CTTCGTGGAACACAATGTCCCTACTTCTGAACACCATTTCTCCTTAGGATCTCATAACCTGTATCCAAACTCTTCATTTCCATAGCCAACGAAAATGCACGGGATAGTTCTTGCATCGAGCTTCTGCCTGAGCTCTTTGGATACATGTGCATATGATGAACAACCAAATACTCTAAGATGTGAGTATGTAGGATCCTTACCTGTCCATACCCTCTCTGGAACTTCAAAGTTCAATGGTACTGAAGGTGATCGGTTGATAAGATAGCATGCGGTGTTGACTGCTTCTCCCCAGAATGACTTCGGAAGTTTAGCCATATTTAGCATGCTCCGGACACGCTCCATGATAGTCCGGTTCATTCTTTCAGCAACGCCGTTGTGTTGAGGGGTGCGTGGTACTGACTTCTCATGTCGAATGCCATATGTTCTACAATATGCATCGAATGCCTTGGAAGTATATTCGCCTCCATTATCAGATCGGAGACATTTCAGCTTCTTTCCTGTTTCACGTTCCACCAAGGCGTGAAATGTCTTGAAGAACTCGAATACCTGATCTTTCGTCGTCAGGAAATACACCCACACTTTTCGAGAAGCATCATCGATAAAAGTCAGAAAATATCTGCTTCCACCGATCGATTCCACCTCGAAAGGACCACAGACATCGAAGTGTATCAAACTTAACAACTCCGATCTTTTAGTTGAAGTAGAACTAAATGATACTCTATGTTGCTTACCAAACACACAATGACTGCAAGGACCCAGTGCAACGTTCTTGTCGATGTTGATAAGGTTCTTCTTCATCAAGGTAGTCAACCCTTTCTCACCGATGTGGCCGAGCCTCAGGTGCCACAGATTCTGAGAAGTCTCCTCTGTAATGTTGAGGCTATCCGCACAAATCCTCAAATGGGTTTTGTACAATGTGCCACAAATATGTCCTCGAGCGATTGTCAAAACGCCCTTTGACATTTTCCAGGTGCCCCTGTTAAAGTGGTTGTCATACCCCTGTTCGTCAAGACATACCACAGATAGGAGATTGAGCCGAAGGTCTGGAACATGTCTGACATCCTTCAAAGTGATTGTGCTCCCAGTACTCGTCTTTATTTGTACATCACCAATTCCAGCTATTCCAGAGGAACTGGAATTGCCCATCTTCACTGCTCCAAAGTCTCCAGCTTTGTAAGTTGTGAAGTAGTACCTGTGGGGAGTAACATGGTAGGATGTTGCACTATCTACCACCCATTCAGTGTCCTCTCTTGAGACGTGAAGACATGTTTCATCATTGATAGTACAATACGCCACATCACCTGAGATTGTGATGAGCGCTTCACCACCCTTGTTCTTCGCTTGAGAATTGCTCTTGCCTCGCTCCTCTAGCAATTTGTAACAATTCTTCTTCATGTGACCCTCTACACCGCAATGGTGGCAGGTATAAGGTTTCCAGCTATCAGATGATCTCCCCCGACTTTTGCCTCTGCTTTGCCACTTTCCTCTACTGTTTCTTTGTTGCTTTCCTTATGATCTTCCTCGATTCTCCATCACAAGGGCATGAGTCTGATATGTGCTCATATCTTTCCTTCTTGCCTCCTCATTGAACAACGCATCCTTGACCACAGACATGGTAAGTTTGCCATCTCGGGCTGAGTCGCTGAGAGTAACAACTAGTGTCTCCCAACTATCAGGAAGGGAACTAAGAAGTAGTAGAGATTGCATTTCATCTCCAAGTGGCATTTCTACACAAGATAGTTGATTTACCAGACTCTGAAATTGACTAGTATGTTCGGCAACATAAGTTCCACTTTTGAGCTTCATATTGACAAGGCGCCTCATCAGTAGGGCCTTATTCCTAGTTGTCTTGGCTTGGTACATATCTTCTAACTTCTTCCAAAGGGAATAAGCGTCGGTTTCTTGTGCAACATGGTGGAAGACACTATGGTCGATCGATTGTCGGATTTGACCAATAGTTTTTCTATTAATTTTCTTCCACTCCATTGACTTGGGCGGGTCAGGATTAATACCTTTCATCTCTATTGGATCAAAAAGGTCTTTACAGCTAAGGAAATCTTCCATCCGAGGTTTCCATAGCGTGTAGTTGGTAGCCGTGAGCATAATCATAGCTCCGAAAGATGAAGTTGACTCGTCAAAGGTCATTTTCACCTTCTAAATAATTTTGATTTTCTGTTTTAGAAAAATCGGATCAGAATTTTGAAAAACGGGCACCACAGTTGCGTCCGGAACGGCCGAAAATGGTGGGGTAGACACTTTTGGGGTCAAAATACAATTTTTGAAAAACTATAGGGGGGAATTATAATTTTCAAAAAATTAAGGGACAAAACTGCAAGTTTTCAAAATTTATAAACTGATCGGTGACGTGGCAGATGACGTGGCAGTGAGGTGGAGCTGACTGGGCGTTGACGTGGCAGCTGACTGGGCGCTGGTGGAAGATGGTAGTGGACTGGTGACGTGGCGGCTGACTGTACTGGGACTGCACTCGTGGCGCAGACGTGTCGCTGACACAGCTCTGGCTGGCTGATGACGTCAGCGATGACGTCAGTCGTCTTCTACCTCTGGACTGCCCGTACTGCGCATGATGACGCAGGCAGTTTTTCGCCGAAGTTTGGCAGCGCGTACGGCAGCTTTCGGTGGCCAAAATATTCCCCAAAAATACCAGTTTTCTCATCTCGACGAAACGAATCTAACAGTATATTCAGATTGCAATTCCGAGCAATACTTAAAAACTCGATTTTTCAGACAATAGAATTTTGTCTGAAAAATCTGGGAAAAATATCAAAAGCTCAACCTGGCTCTGATACCACTTGTTGGGAATAACAGGATCGTGCTAATATGAGAGAAAAACACTTCTATTATTTTCAAGAATAGAAAGAAGAGACATACAAGCTCTAACTAAAAACTCTCAAAAACACCTCACATATCTCTCAAGGATATTCACAACTCAAACTTGGTTGTGCTATGATGATCTATTCTAATTTACTTGATGATAGAAAGACTCTCCAAGCTCTCTATTTATAGCACCAAAACTAGGTACTATGAAGGTGGAAGGAAGGTGTGTTGAAGCTAGGAGGAAGCTTCAATGGAGGTGTGAGGAAGGTGACTCCTAGGTGGGTTGAAGCTTCCTTTGTCATTGTTGGATGTGTAGGAAACTTCATGTATGTTGCTCACAATTGGATTCTTCAATTTGCTTGTACTTGGATATGTCCTGGAAATTGAATTCTTCACGACAGTGTGCATTTTTAAAAATGCCAGCTCAGCCCCATTTTGAATATAGATAGCTGCATTGGAGAGACTATTTTCGCTTCCACTTCAATTTTTTAGCGTGGCAGTGCATTCTGTAGAATCAATATTACCATTAAAAGTGCTCTAAGAACTTTCCCTTTTTTTTTACTCCAATGGGGTCTGGGGAAGGTGGGCTGGGGGCCTGGAGTAATCAGGACTGAAACTTACTCCATTGAGTTTCAAACCCTTATGTGTCTAGCGGGTTTCAAACTCGAGACCTCCCACCAGGCACGGTAATCTCTCAACTGAGCTGGAATGCTTGGTTGCTCCAAGAACTTTCCCATCGTAACGTATTGTTTCATCAAAAAGTACATCCGAAAAAGTGTTGCCTGACATGAAACTTTCCTCCGCAAGTAATATCTTTTGGAAATACCATCGTTAATACTCCCTCCGGTTCCAAAAGATCTTGACACCTTGACTTCACAATTTTTAAGGAAATAAATTTGACTTTACTGTAGACTACACTGTTTGGCATTGTTTGACACTGTTTGGCACTGTTTTGTGTAGATTTATTTGCCAAATAAGGCAAATAAGGAAGTGTAAAGATAATTGTGGTACTGATAAAAATGGAAAGTGTAAAGATCTTTCAGAACCGGAGGGAGTACAAGCTGAGCTCGCAAAAATATATATAGACAAATTATTTGTTAGATGACATAACATGATTTGTGAGTGAATGAATTCAAACAAATACCAAATATAAATGCCATGATCTCCAATGCATAAAATGGGATGCATGTTAAATTATTCAATTGAGAAATTACAATTAATCATACAGCGGTGACTATGAACGGTGTCTTTTGCATAGTGACATAGAAAGAGAGGCAGGGTTCAACATTTCACCCATTCTTTCACCCTTACTTATATAAGTGGGTGTTTACATCTATTTCTTAAAATTGAGTTTGCTGTTTCAGAGAGCAAAAGTAGATATTAGAGTGTCTCGATGAAAGTACAGAAGTACTTTTGGATGCTCCAAATTGCTCCTAGTTGGGGTGGGCAATTCGGTTTACGGTTCGGTTTTATTCGGTTTCAGTTAGGTTTCGGTTTATTCGGTTTGGAAGAATTTGTATCAAACTAAAACCATATGAGTTTCGATTTGGTTTCGGTTTAGTTCGGTTTGAAGTTCGGTTTTCCAAAGTGAAAATTATTAAGTTCAATTTAGTTCATTTGATTCAACTTCTTATGCTTATTATTATATTTGATCAAGTTCTGTATTTTAGAATTAGAAAATGAAAGTAGTAGTTCATCTCATCTTCTTGTATTTATTATTTCAAAGTGTTTCATATTTTAATGAAATGAAATAACAATTGCATATTAACGTTCAAAGAGTTCCATTCGAGAAAAGTTTTGTTTTATTACCAAAGTATCATTGTGTGGTTTCAACCTTTAGATCAATTGAACGGATGATCAAGACGAATTAGTTTGCAGTTTGTAAATTAGAAGTTTGTATTTGATCTCTTATATATCGTATGGTTCCAATAAAAAGTGATTTTCCCGTACAAAATACAAACAATTCCAAGTATAAAATGGTCATATTTTTGTCCATCCACAGTTCATAGGTTATATTTTTGTCATTCTTTCATTTTTGTGGTCTTAATATCTAGGTTTTAAAGTTGATATTCATTATGTTCTTTGTCTCTTAATTTATTAAATGAAAACTATGAGAGTTTCATTTTTTTCTATTTAATTATGTTTCATTGTGTACAATTTGTGTAGGATTCTCCAGTCGGAACGGGTTACAGTTATGTGGACGATATAAATTCATTGGTGAATTTAACAGATGTGGATGCAGGAAATGATTTAACTACACTTTTGATAAATCTTTTATATAATAATACAAGATTACAGAAAAGCCCTTTATACATAGTAGCAGAGTCTTATGGAGGAAAGTTTGCCGTCACTCTTGGAAGTAAAACTGAATCTCACACTTGGGGGTAATATTGTCTGGTACTTTCAAATTTTAGCTATCAAATCAACATGCATTATTTTGAAACATGATATGATTTATTTTTGCTTTGTAGGGGTGGCATTAGGTGATAGTTGGATCTCACCTATAGATTATGTGGTATGTTACTCTATAAAATTGGAGGGGTGGGGAGAGGGGAGAATTAAGAGCTTGTTTCCGACTAAATTGGTAGAATCTTCTGAAATTCCATCTTGAACAATTCTATTGAACAGATATAGATGAGTAAAGTAAAATATTTAAAATATATTTATTAAAACAATAATGAAAAAATGAACATTCAGAATAGTTTTTTTCAACAAATGCAGTTAATTTAGTTAGAAATGTAATTCCAACTTTACTTATTTTGAATATAACATGTATAGTTCAAAAATTCAGTGTTTTGGTAAAAAATGATTTACAAAACCATTAAGTCAAAAAATTAGGTTAAGTTATCGAAAGATTCTAGATAATAAGTACTATTTCCGCTCCCCTAACATTGGTACAAGAGAAAGTGGTGCGGTTATCAAGAAAAGCGAGTTTATGTGGTTGATATTGAACTGACAAAGTGGGAATAAAATAAAAATGATTTAGAACTATACAAATGGTACCTGGTATGAGACAATCTTAATGAGACAGACAAAAAATGAAAAATGAGACAATCTTAACGGCACGGGAGGAAGAAATACTCAGATTTGTCTCCTGTTTTGTATAGCCCTACCCCTTGATTCAAAATTATTGTAAGTGTTGCAGCTTTCTTGGGGACCATTACTATATGATGTGTCAAGACTTGATGAAAATGGCCTCGAAGAGGCGAACAGGTTCATATCTGAAACTTGTTTACATTGCTATCCTCAAAACATTGAAATGTTTATGATTATCTAATCATCATAATCTATGATAAACAGCATAGCGATGCAAATTCAGGACAAATTAGATTTGGGGCAGTTTGAAAATGCAACTGACCTATGGTCGCAATTGGAAGGCAATATAAGCACTTCTAGCAATTATGTGGTATATATATATATATATGTAAATTTATCTTAAATCATAATATTAGAAAGTCTTTCTATTCCCATTATGTTGATGACAAAACATCAATTTTACCATGTTAAGCTATGAGCTACACATATCAATTGACCGGCCTTTTAAAAATGGAACCCAAAGCCTTAATAACTTATGTACTGTATATTTTTGCTTCCCATACAAGGAAGTTCTTGTTCATAATGCTTTAAAATGAATAAATTTTGTGCAGAATTTCTACAATTTTTTGCTCGATGATAATATAGACCCTTTATCCCCTACGGCTTCTGAAGTATCACAAGGTTTGACCATGAAGCGATACGCATCTTATCTATCTTCTTTGAAGGCTTCACCAGGTGGTGAAGATCAGCTTGACACCTTGATGAATGGAGCTATCAAGGATAAGTTTAAGATTATTCCAAAAAATGTTAAGTAAGTTTGCTTTTAATAAAGTATTCCATTTTCTACTCGTGAGAAAAGAGTAAAGAGATTGTGTTATTGCAGGTGGGGAGGACAGTCCCTTAACGTTGTTGACGCATTTAAGGGTGATTTTATGAGACCACGGATTAATGAGGTAATGTTATGCTATTGCATTTTCCATGATGATATAAATGCTAATTTCTCTATTTGTTCCAAAATAATAGTTACATGTTTCCTTTTTGTTAAAGTCTCACACCGATAAATTAAGAAGTAATAGAGTGCTATATTAAGATCTGGGCTACTCCCCCTACCAGGTTGATCTTTTAGGATGGAACCCCAGGTCTTAACATGGTATGAGAGCCAAATCGATCCATGAGGTGGGCCCCTGAAAAAAAAATTGAATGACGGCACGATCCAGACGAAATGTTTGGTCATGAGGAGGGGTGTTAAAGTCCCACACCGGTAAATTAAGAAGTAATAGAGTGTTATATTAAGATATGAGCTACTCCTCCTAACACTTTTTGGAGTGGCAAAAAAAAAATCCTTTTTTGACTAATAATTCTACATATAACATACTACCTCCGTCCCTTAAAACTTTGGCAAAGTTGACCGGCACGGAGAATAATAAAGTAAAAACTGTGTGGTTGAGGTTTGTGAAGAGGAGAGAGACAGAAACCACAAAATAATTGATTAAAAGGGAAAGTGACAAAGTTTTTTGGAACGTCCCAAAGAGGAAAGATGGAAAAGTTTTAAGGGGCGGAGGGAATATCATTCATACTTCACCCTTCCTTTTAAATCTGCATATCCTACATGGAACAAGTTGCCTTTGTTACACGGTCTCATAGAAGAGGTTGTTATGTTTTCATTTACTGCTAACTTCATTCTTGAAATTTATAACTTTTTTTTGTACACTTAGGTTGATAAACTATTGAATAACGGTATCCAAGTGACTATCTACAATGGACAAGTAAGTCTCTCTATGTGAACTTTCATTCTGAAAATACATATGAACTGTATGATATGATACTGCATTACTGCAATCGAAAACGATGAAATCTCAATCTAAATGTCTACAAATTAAAATATTCAGAAAATTAAAATTTATTAAATGTCTTGAACTTTTTTTGATGGCAAGTAGGTTGACCTCATTTGTGCCACAAAGGGAACTGAAGCATGGGTACAAAAGCTCAAGTAATGAACCATATGACACATTATATATAATGAGGGCATTGTTTTTTCCTTTGAAGGTTATTTACTACGTAATTAATTATATCTAACCACAATGTGTTTACGTTTATATATAAATAATTAAAGGTGGAATGGACTAAAGATGTTCAACCGTATGGATAGAATTCCTCTGTATTGTGGAGATACGAAAACAAGGGGTTTCTTAAAGGCATACAAAAATTTACGGTTTTACTGGATTCTTGAAGCTGGTCACTTTGTAAGTCCTCCACTTTATTACGAGTATTAACTTTAATATGAAGATTAGATGAAATCCTGGCCATTCATTAGTTACATGCATATCTCTCAATGAGTCTAGGCTGGGTCAAGATCGGCAAGTTCAATTCATATCCATTTAGTACAATAGATCCATAATCCGAGATTTGTCGAGTCTACATTTTGTTTTCCAAGACCCAGAGCCGTTCGGGTCCGGTTGTGTTCAAGTCTGAATCTGAGTCTAAGAATCTCAAAACTTCATCATTTCATATTTTGATCATTTCATTGGTAGCGAGGGAATGTCACAAGGGTTAGGTCCCGGGTTCGAATCCCGGCAATTACGATCAGAGGTTACTATGCTAAAAATATGCATAAGGTCTCTGCAAGTACCGGGGACAGAGTCTCACTCTCTATCTATCAGATTGGAATTATGGTCCAATTTACATACTCCTTAATTTTCTCCTCAGGTGCCGGTGGAAGAGCCGTGTCTAGCATTGGAGATGGTTGGTAACATCACCAACTCGCCTGCTACTTGAGGGAAAAACTATCCTTGTTTTTTGGAGGTTTCACGTCAAACCGCGGCTAAAATCAGCATTTTGCTTTGTAAAACGATAGCGGTTTGGCCTAAACCGCCAATATCCGATTTAAAATGATATCTACCTATTGAAATGATATATATCCATCTAGCTGGTGGATAGGGATATTTGAGTTTGTATTTGAAATATATATGTGTGTGAGAGAGAGAACTACATCCAATATTGATCATTGGAATAAGATATGTTTTACAGACCTTAATTTGTAATGCTTGAAATATTTTTCTTTTAATTATCAATGAGTGTTTTAGTGTATCCAGCTCTTGTAATTCCTGCTCTTTAATTAGTTGCCAGGAGTGGTAATAACACTCTACTAAACCTTTGAAATTCATCATGCAACGTAGTTAAAACACATTTGTGGTTGCTAAGCTCTAATTACTCTGCCCTCGACCTTAAAACACCTCGTCTCTCCTGCATTTGAAAAATGAGGAGATTTAAATCATGTGAGAATTATTTAAGTCCAACTTAAACAAAAAAGTCAGGATTAATTGATTTCAAAGAATGATAAGAAACGATTGAAATTTATATTGTATAATATATAAATATTTATTTAATATTTAGTTTTTGTATTTATATGTGTATATATAATTCAAAGAACACACGTCGTCACACAATAAATGTTAAAAAAATACAAAGTTTTTTCCTATAAGTAGTGGCCTTTTTTAGCTTTTAGCACACAACGATCATATATATTACTAGCTAGAAGGGGGCTTTTCACGATGAAGAGGTTGAATATTGTTGTTTGTGTGGCTCTTTCATTTTTCGTTTTTACTTCAGTTTGCGGCGGTATTGGATTAGCCAAAGCTGAGACAAATGAAGATGGAACTGAAGAATGGGGTTATGTTGAAGTCAGACCAAGTAATTAACTAATTATAGTAATTAATTAATTGTATGCCTTATTATTACTCTCTTGATTTAACTTTCTTCCTCTCTTATTGTTTTCTCATTTTTTTCGCTTATACGTTACAAAAAGAGATCTAGAATAAATTTGTGTTTTATCATAAAGATTATTGAATTAGCTAAGCGTTGATGGCCCGGAAATTACTCCATCCGTCCCAATTTGATTTGCAAAATTTCCTATTTTGGTTGTTTCAAAATGGTTTTCCACTTTCTATTTTAGGTATGTAGAAAAGAATAAAGTGACAAATTTACCTTTACTTTTACTTTTTCCATTAACTTAAAGACATCTACTTTTAGGAAGATGGGCAAAAGTGTAAAAAGCAAGCATCATTTATTGTACTTCCTTAATCTGCCGGTCAAAGTTTGTAATTCAATTCGGAACGGAAAGAGTAGTAACTAACTACCAATTAACATAAAGTTATTTGTTAGAAGATCATTGTCAATTCAATGAGCTAAAATGTAATCCGTATTGTATAAGGTTGGTGAACGTATACATAGTAGCTGGGCAGAATCAAGGGGGTCAGGGTAGTAACTAGTAAGCCGACCCCACTAAAAATTCAAGATCTAGAATGTACAACCCCGAAATACATTTGATTTGATATATTATGACTCATGTAACTTATTACGAGTAAAAAATAATAAGTCCTGAAAAATTAGCACTCTAAACCTAAAATGAGTAAAGTTAGATGCGTAATATTGATTATATTTCTAAATTTTAAAAATAGTGTTTAATTCACTCAATACTTTAATCCCATGAAATTTATAATATATATGACATAATACTGTATATCAAATCTATAATTCTATTACTCTCATTTAAACTACCATTTATCTATACTAGAAACATTCAACTTAGGTATTGTTCAAAAATGACTCATCCTTATTACTCTGTATAGTTAAGTTTTGTGTCCCAAATCAAGTCATTTTTCTGACTCCGTCACTGCATATTACCTTAATTATTGGTATTTGACGCATTTTGCTACCATAATTGTTGACATAATAAAGGTGGTGTCATACGTACATGTAATTGTTTCATCATGGTACTATCTTGAAATAAAGTCAACTAGTTTTTCTTGACAATCTAAACTTCCCAAGAATTTGACAAAAAAATTGTATGATTTTTATCCTGTGTATGGCAAAACAGAAGCCAACATGTTCTGGTGGCTCCACAAAAGTCCAAACAAAATTGACGATCCAAACAAGCCATGGCCTATTATTCTGTGGTTGCAGGGTGGACCGGTAATTTAGATCTTCTTTGAATATACTACCATTATTACATACTCCTCTGATTCTGAAAGATCTTTACATTTTTCATTTTTAGAAGTACCAGAAAGATCTTTACACTTCCTTATTTGCCTTATTTAGCAAATAAATCTACACAAAACAGTACCAAACAGTGCCGAACAGTGTTTATTTCCTTAAAAACTGTGAAGTCAAAATGTCAAGATCTTTTGGAACCGAAGGGAGTATTCAAATCTGACAATATTTATAGGGAAATTGTTGGGTCACTTTTTTCCCCTTCTCAGCATTAACATTCAGTCAAATCAGACAATTTGCTAAACCAACATTAGAGTACGTAGGTTATTGAATAGTTGGTCTGTTGACCATAGAAAGTAGGAAGCAAATTAAAAAGAATATTTTTCAATAACGGATGACCACCGTTCCTGCTGAGTGCTGAGTTGCTGACTAAAGTGTACTAGTGTTTCATTCACCGACTTTTTTTAGAGTAACTATAATTAGACCATTTGTGGTGGTTGGAAGTTCAAATTGTTAAATTTAGACTTCGTCCATATAAAAACAGTGTTTCGACTCCGTTAGTATCGTTTTTTTCTACATTCGTGCACCGTCAATAAAATACACTCAACATATTTTTTTACATATCGATTTAGTAAAACAATAATTAATTTATTATAAGTAATGTTTTCCGTTTAATATTTTCCCTAAATAATTCTGAAATAAAAAAATACACATTTCGATGTAAAAATAAATAAATTTCATTATTATTTTTTAAATGTTTTCGGTTAACAAAAATGAACTTAGTTCAAGTAAAGTTCGATTATGAAACATTCAGTTAATTGTGAAGATTACATGAATTAAAAATTTGTGTTTCATCATTTTGTAGATCGAAGAAAACTTCAACAGTTAAAACTTAAGAATTTTTGTTTCATTTTATATATTACATATTGGTGTCATATGAAAGATCATAAAATTTAATGAATTTTGATATATTTTTTAAAATATTTGGAGAACAAATAAAAATGTTATAAGAGTTTAAATTAATTTGGATTTTAATAATGCTTGTGTGACGTCATGATGACATCATCCGAATGCATGATGTTAGCTCACCGCCGCCTCCCTTCTCTCTTTTCTTTTCTTTTTCCTTTTCTTTTCCCATGTCAATCACACCCTCTACTTTTACACCACTCCATCCCTTCTTGGCTTCTTCCACTTTTAATACCCCTGTTACTCCACCACTACACCAATTTAAGAATAAAAAATCTCCATTTTTAATCTTGACTCCTAATCCCAAACCACTATAAATGGTCTTAGGAGCCTCCATTTTGACCATTTCAAAACATAATACTCCATCTTTAAAGAGAGCATATGTTAAGTTCTTATGCTTTTAATTTTATTTTCTTGATGAGTTGGTAGTTACTCCCTCCGGTTCTGAAAGATCTTTACACTTTCCATTTTTAGCAGTACCAGAAAGATCTTTACACTTCCTTATTTGCCTTATTTGGCAAATAAATCTACACAAAACAGTGTCACACAGTGCCAAACAGTGTCAAACAGTGTCAAACAGTGTTTATTTCCTTAAAAACTATGAAATCAAAGTGTCAAGATCTTTTGAAACCGGAGGGAGTATTTAGTTAAACTTAACTGATGCTTAAATTAGGGAGCTTCTGGAGTTGGAATAGGCAATTTTCAAGAGATTGGCCCTCTAGGTGTTAATTTGAACCCCAGAAATTCAACATGGTTGAAAAAGGCTGATCTACTATTTGTGGTAGGTTGTTTTTACATTTTACAACAGTTTTCTTTGTAAATAACTTATTGCATCTTCACTATTTAATACAGTACGGCATTTATAATTTGTTACAATTAATTAATAATTACATAAAAATAATTATGTCTATAGGATTGTCCGGTTGGAGTTGGGTATAGTTATGTGGAGAACACAAGTCTACTTGTGAAGACAGATGAAGAGGCAGCAACCGATTTAAAAACTCTATTAATAGAGCTTTTCAATAACAACACAAATTTACAGAAAAGCCCTGTATATATAGTGGGACAATCCTATGGTGGGAAATTTGCTGTGAGTCTAGGGTTGTCAGCTCTCAATGCCATTGAGGCAGGGGAATTAAAGCTCAAACTTGGGGGTAATTATCTCTTATAATTCCAAATTAGCTTAAAACAACATGGTTTAAAATTCAAAGGATATGACAATTTAATTTATTGTTTCGCAGGAGTGGTATTAGGTGATAGTTGGATCTCACCTGAAGATTTTGTGGTATGTGATGTGATTATATTTAAAATTTATTTCTATGTTATATTGGATTTTATTGTTGAATATAGAAGCCCTTGTTTTGAGGCTTAAAATAGTTAATGATCCAATCCGCTACATTAATTCTATTAGGATGTTATCATTAGATTGAAACTTTCGGTGATCTAATATAATCTCTTAAAGTCAGGTCGACTGTTTGAGCGGGTCTGTTTTGATATTATGTGTATTTTATTATTGTCCGTTGGTAGAAAATAACTCGTGTAGAGAAATTAGCAGCACTTCAGTATACTAGAAAAAACTTCCGGTTACAGGAGGATTGCATGGCCTATTTATAGACATTTACGGTAAGTCCAATAATAAAAGGCTACATAGGCTTGACCCAATCTAAGAACTAATATTGACACTAATGTGTTAGCCGGCCCAGGTAATAAGCAAATAATCTCAGACCGAACTTTGTTTGTCGGACTGTGTTCTGAGCTTGGTCGAGCCAAAGCTCGGGTTTAACGGGCCGATAGCCTTGGACCTGACCCATTATCCCAACATGAGTCCCTCACTCCCTTAGTCGAGTAGTAGACTCGGCTAAAAGGGAATAGTTGAGCTGTTTTGGAATCGGTTCGATTGCTGGTCCGGTAGGCTGGTCATTAATGAGTCTTGAATTTGATCACATTGCTTGCGAAAGGATGGAGTCCTCATTGTTCCGACTGGGAGACCTCTTCCTTTTTTCATGATGAGGGGTGCCTCGTTAAAACCTTACTAGGAAAAAACCCAGTGGGAAAAAATCCTAGTGAAGGAAACAGAGTACATCGGGGCCTCAAAATAAATCAAAAGAAGGTCAGTCCCCTCAGTTCTTGATTGAGTATTTGCTTTAATTTGATACTAAATCGGGGTATGCCGAGGGAGGCCAGCCACCCAGCTATTCGCTGAGAATGAAAAATCGGGGTATGTCGAGAAGGCCAGTCGTAGCTATCTGCTGAGGATGGTGATCTGAGGTATGCTAGGGAGAGGCCAATCACATAGCTGTTTGCCAAGGATGGTGAGCCGGGGTATGCTCAGGAGAGGCTGGTCACCCATTTGTCTGCTGATGATGGACAATTGAGATATGTTCGGGAAAGGGCGGTTGCACACATGTGCACATTGCACTGCTTGCGAGAGGATAGGGTTTCTCTATTGAAGAAACAAACTGCGAATGGAGGGGCGAGCTCGCCATTAATGGCAGAGTGAGCTGAGAACCGACCTGCTGGCTGGTAAGGTGCTCTCCGAGACACGTCCGACGGAACGAGCTGCCAATGATAGTGTCACATTGGAGCGGGGAAGCTTGGTCCTCGGGATCTGGGTTGCTTCGTCTATCTCCTTCCTTGAGTGATTTGGTCAAACGGGATATGATTTGGAAGACTCCCAATTTCTCCATTCCAATCTGATCTTTTACAAGAACCATCATCCTAGATCATTTTTGGGCAGAATTCTGAAATTGTAATGAACTTTTTAATAATTTTTCCGGCTATCTCACTTAATTTTGTTGTTTTCTCTTAACTTTCTACCGAAAAGTGAGAGAATCTCTCAATGAAATCATATGAGATTCTCTCACAAGTTATTAGATCCTCATGATGAGCTAATAACTCAATTGTCACCTAAACAAAATTACACCAAATTCAGACAATAGTAGGTATAGACATATACTTCGTAACATCTTTATTAAATGATCAAAAAAATTCAAAACCATAACAATTTCGGTCACTCCTACCAATGAAGTTCGATTATGAAAGAAAATTCCAGTGAAAAAGTGGTCTGTAAATCATTATGTCAAAAGAGCATTTTAAAACTGACCTCTGATCTTAACCATAATCTTGTTTAAATATGTTAAACAATTATACTCCGTATATGTTTTGGATGATTTTTTTAATCATGATGCAACACTATGAATTCTGTAGTTCTCTTGGGGACCTCTACTGAAAGATGTATCAAGAATTGATGACAATAGTTTAGAAAAATCAAACAGGTCCTTGTTAAACAACCCTTTTCGATCTTTAATGCTTTGTAAGTGTTAAATAATTATTTGAATTTACTTATTTACCTAACAACCAATTAATATTATTTTTGTTAATAATTTGTCTAAAACAGTTTAGCTACGCAAATTAAGAAGAAACTTGATGACGGACTATTTACAGAGGCAACAGCACTGTGGGGTACCCTTCAAGATGTCCTAACCAATTCTAGCAATTCAGTGGTATAAATTTTAGTTTAATGAAATTGGCATTAGAATATCATTTTTCTTCAAAATGGGATATTACGTACGTTATATTGTTATTTTAACATCACTTATAAAGTTTAACTTTGATATAACTAATATTTCTTATTCGTTGGCCATGATAAATAAGTCCATATATCTAATATTGAAAAATATTCTTAACGACCATTATTTCCTATTTGTTGAAATTAAAACCCAAACCGTAAGCATAGTTTCATATTCACTAGACAAACAAATTCAATAAATTTCATCGCAAAAAAAAAACAATAAATTAACTTAAATCATTTGCAGAATTTCTACAATTTTATGCTGGATTCCAATATGGACCCTTTACTGTCCACTTCTTCTGATCTTAACACGTTAATGAATGGAGCTATCAAGACAAAATTGAAGATTATCCCAGAGAACATTCAGTGAGTACTTCTATCCTTTTCTTTTTCATAAACTTATTTTTTTCTTGAGTTATTTTATAGTGTGTAGTGTTTGATTTCAACCCAAACAAAGCAAAAAATTCAAAACTAAAAGGTTGTATCTTATAGGTGGAGAAGGCAGTCCAGTGTTGTATTTGCAAATATGCGTGGCGAAAACATGAAACCAAGAATAAGTGAGGTATATAATACTACGTAATACATTATATTGGTGATGAACGATTGAAAATATTAAAGTTTTGCAAAATCATAATAACAATGCAATTTATATTCCTAATTAAAATAGAACTATTAATGTCCTAGATTTACCAAGTATGGACGGGGTAGGGGGCTGGTCCACTCCAAATTTTCAAAATGGCTCAAAAATGTTGTTTAAGTTTGGACCGATTTTATCTGGTATTGTTAGGATCGGATTCCGTCTCCGGCTCAAGTCTCCAACCACTCTAGCTCACAAACACCACTAGGGAAAGCTACTCCACCTCTTTATGTTTTCTCTCGCATTAAGGAACCTCTCTCTCACTCTCTCACACAAAGGAAAGGAGAAGAATGGAGTCTACTCTCTTTAGAGTGTGAGCAGTACTCTTCTTCTCCTTTCCTTTGTGTGAAAGTTTGAGAGATTCCTGAGTGGAGAGAAAACATGGTGAGGTGTTGTGGTCTAGCCTAGTGGTATGTGTGAGCTATTGTGGAGGTTGGAGACCTGAGCCGGAGACGTACTCTGATCCTAACATGTATTTTGGAATTATATTTCACATTATTTATACTCTCGTATTTGAAAATTTCCCTTGTTACCACAAAAGAATAGGCATATCCACATAAGATCAGTGACACGGAAACTAACATGAGGAAATTATCCAAGTATGACTACATCATGATATATCTTCTAAAATAGAAGTATCATGTTTTGTTTTCTAAATATGACTAGTTCACTCTCATAAGAAGATTTTTTATTCGGACTAAACAAATACATCTTATTTTGATGGCAAAACATAAGCAATACCCATTTGTGAAATCAATTTGTGTTTCACTCTTATTATGAGTATATTTCTCTACATTCGTGTGTGGTATCAATGGTGTTTCTTTCTTTTTTGGTTTCTTGACTTTTGCATAGGTCGATGAACTATTGAATAAAGGAGTGAATGTGACTATTTACAACGGACAAGTAAAGCTCTTAATTATATCTCATTCGAAACATAAATTTAATGTTTTGTTGGAAAAGAATAATTAAGTGTCATAGTAATTATGCCATCGATCAATTGGTTTTTATTCAGAGCTGTCTTAGCTTCTTGCATTAAAATATAGAGAAGTTCATTAGATGTCTTATACTTGATCATGATTGTAGGTTGATCTCATTTGTGCCACCAAGGGAACTGAAGCATGGGTTCAAAAGCTCAAGTATGCATACAATTAATCTCCTCTTTTCTATTTGAAAATAGTTAAATACCATAACTAATACTCCCTCCGTCCCGCTAGAAGGTTCCCGTGAACGGTTTACGATGCTTGACTGACGATAAAGCAACTTAATTCTTGTTCACACTCGGGTTAGTTTTAGTAAATAAAATTAATATATTCAAAAACTACATTAAAACCACTACAAAGGCTGATAAAAAATGTAAATTTGCTAGAAATTTGATTTATAAAGTAAACGATTAAAAATGATTTAAGTTGACCATGTAAATAGTGGACGGGAACCTCCTAATGGGACGGAGGTAGTAATACTCAGTAACTAATTGTATATATTGTTGTGTAATTGAGTACAGGTGGGAAGGGTTAAAAACATTCACTAGCATGGACAGAAGTCCAATGTATTGTGGGGATAATCAAACAAGGGCTTTTGTGAAGTCATATAAAAACCTACATTTTTACTGGATTCTAGGTGCAGGACACTATGTAAGTCTCACTTGTTATTGCTTCATTAATACTCTCCAAGATTCATTTTGTGTGCCTTGGTTACTATTCCTTTGTCAAATTTTATTTTTAATTAGTTTTACTTTCATTGATGATTGCAACGTTTTGACCAAATATAAAGCCCAGGACTAATTAAACTGAGTACTACCAGGATAATTGGGGACGATTTGTTGCATTTCCCCTAAGTACTCGATCTATTCAAGTAATAATAATAATGTAATATGGCAACATTTCTTATCATTAGGTTTATTTATAGTAGAGCTAATTTGAATAATGGTGAAATACGTACGTGGTTATGACTAATAGGGTATGTAATTTAACTAATTTGAAATTTAATTTCTACCGGATCACATTTAATGTGATTTAAAAGAAAAATAAACTTAGTCTAATATAGAGTCTGTTTGATAATACTAAAGTAAGGATGTTTTTACTTGGACTGTAATTTGCTGGTCTGGTCTGATCTGAACTGGTCTGGTCTGGTTTCTTTGTATTTTTATAACTATCCAAGTCTGGTCTGGTCTGGTCTGAACTGGTTTGGTCTGGTCTGGTCTGATCTGGTCTAGTCTGGTCTGGTCTGGTCTAGGACGAATTACAGTCCAAGTAAAAACACCCTAAATAGAATTAACTTATTTTTCTGAAATTGATTGAATTCTGGTTAAATGGGTGGAATCTTCTGAATCATGAAAAATATATGTGAAATATATTCCATTTGTGAAACAAAGAGAAAAATATATGAAAACAAAAGTTAAATTGGTCTTCTACATAAGCATCTCAAGTAAACATAATTGTTATGAACCCAATAATAATAAAAAATTATATTTCTTAATTGTTAGATCTTACAGTTTACTCATTAATAAGAACGTTATTAATTGAATTAAAATTTCGGGTTTGATTCGGTATGAATTAATATGGTCTATTAGATGTCTGTTTTTTATGTGATTTATTGTTATAATTATTAAAGTTTGATCTGATCTGATTTAATCTGGAACTGAAATCAATCCAATTAAAAACATTCTATTAAAATAAAAGTAGGAATTCGTAAACCTATAAAGATTTTCTTGTTTGTATTAGAAATCTATTTCAAAAGTGAAGGCATATTTGAATTTTAGGTGTAAAATAAAGAAACAACAAAAAAAAATTACTTATTTGGCTAAGCTAAACATATTTACTTGTGAAAATATATACTTGTATACTTTATGTTGGTTATAATTTTTAATTTCATTTTTAATTATTTACTTATTTGAAGCTTACTAATTTATTAATAGGTGTCAAATTAATAAGTAAACTAATTTGCATATTTGTTTCTATTTAATTCGGTGTAGTAAATAAACTAATATAAATTAGTTTCCATATCAATAAACGTTATTAGAATTTAACTTTGATAACCAAAAATTATTTTACTTATTTGAAGCTTACCAAATTAATTAAGGTGAATTTATAAGGATTTTTATTTCCATATCAATATCCAATCAAAAATAGAATCTAATAAAAACAAAAGGTATAAAAATAAGTAAATAATTGTTATATATAATGACATGGCAGGATTATGTGGCGCTTTGTATGCTCTTAAAAAGTTTCTCTTTTATATATATATTGATTATATCTCATCAAATTAGAACATGATCCAATTGATTAGATAAGATTTAAAGAGGTCAAGACAAATTTAGACAATATTAAAATGCACATGTATGAAACTTTTATCAGATTGAGGTTGTTTTTACTTGGACTTATTTCAGTCCTATATAAGACCAAGTCTAGTTCAGAACAGACCAGAATAGACTTAGATAGACAAGATCAGAAAAACTTAGTCCAAGGGTGCTTTTACTTGGACTGTTTTCAGTTACAGACCAGACCAGACTAGACCAGACTTGAACACTTATAAACTATACAGGGACCAAACAACTAGATCAGATCAGACTAGACCAGTTCAAATCAGACCATTTCAGACCAGACTAGATCAAACTAGCTCATCCCAGATTAGAAAATTTCAGTTCAAGTAAAAACATCTCGTTTAAAAACATTCTAACCAGACGAGATTTAAGTATAGCTGACCGGACCAACATATATCAAACTTTTATTGGACGAGACTAGATTTAAATATATCAGAATTCGAAGAGGTCGTAGTTACCCTTTTGCCATTTACTGTATTGACTTTGCAGGTTGCGGTAGATCAGCCGTGCATGTCGCTAAACATGGTTGGTGAAATCATACGGTCCCCTTCGACACTTCGAAATGGGGATTCTTACTTACATGAAAGAAGCTGAAAGATACAGAAATATTATATTACTCCCTCCGTCCCGTAATTAAGTTACGGGATGAATTTCACACATATTAAGAAAATAAATTTATTGAGGGGTAAATTTTACTGTTTCGATACTGTTTGACACTATTTCGATAATTTGCCAAATAAGAAAAGTAGGGAAATGTGAATTTATTTATGGGATTATCCAAAAAGGAAAGTGAGAATTTAATTGGGAGACGGAGGGAGTATTTGAAAAAAATTGTTTGTACACATTCTCTTGTACACATTCTCGTAGAGGCATGTGTAAGACACTAAGATGTGTATAACAGTACGTATAAGAAAGTGTGTACGAGAAAAATTGTTGATATTATTTACCTCATTTTCTTTCACCTAGCTATCTGAACTTGAACAAAAAAGCTTAGATCCCAAATTCAACATTTATCTCTCTTTCCACTTCACCGCTCGGTTAACCAGATGGATCGGGGCATGGAATTCACCTTCTATGGAGAGAGATTCTAAATGTATATATATTTGTGGTTGAAGGGTTTATTACATGCAGTCTTTCTTGTGTATCATGAACCAAAGTAATTGTATCATTTGTATGTTACTCCTGGGTGTGAGAACAAGTATATTCTTGTTCTATTTTTCAGAACAAATATACTTTCGAAGTATATGTTGAAGTGCATAGACTCCTGAAGTTTTAAAAAGTGAAAAAATATCACTCATGTTCTTATCAAGGAGCATCTTTACCCTTATTGATTTTAAATTGATAAAATAAATTTCAAACAACACCAAAAATAAATTTTAAATTCGAAATTAAAAATAAAATATTTTTAAAATGTACTTGTGTCCAATTCTTCCTTTTATTGAATTGTTTTTATATCACAATTTAATATTGTTAGTATAAAATATTGTTTCAAAACTTTTCTATATCTTTTAGATTCTTTCGAAAAAGTGTTACATATGTGTTGCAATGTAAAAAAATTAATTTTTTGCATTCTTTGCACAATAAAATTATATATTTTGTATGGTGATAAGTAACCTAAAATTAGAAAATAGTGAGTTTAATTTTATTTCAAAAAAAGAAACATGTATTCAAAATTTCACAACCAGACTAAAATTAATACGATAGTATTTATGAATGTAAAGTGCTTCATTTACAAAAGAAAAAATGCAATTTAAACTTAAAGAGTTAATATTTTAACATAATAATAAATCTTTATTTTTTAATTTCGAATTTATAATTTATTTTTGGCGTTTTTTGAAATTTATTTTAGGGAAAATCGCATATATGGTCCCTCAGTTATCCACGAAATTAAAATCTCGGACCTGTATTTCTGATTTTGTAAATGTCATCCCTCAACGTCCAAAATTATGTAAATGTGGTCTTTTTGAGGGGTGAAATATACAATGTGGGCGAGAGTACATTTAACCACTTAAAGGACCACATTTACAACAATTTGGACAATTGAGGGGTGACATTTACAATCTCATAAATACAGGTGTGAGATTTTAATTTCGTGGATAACTGAGGGACCATATATGCGATTTTTCCTTTGTTTTATCTATTTAAAGTTAAAAAGAGTAAATGTGCTCGTTTATAAGAACACGAAGGGTATTGTTGCACTTTTTAAAGGTTGAGAGGTATATATGCACTTCAACATATACCTCAAGTGTGTACGTGTTCCGAAAAATAGAACATAGGTATATTTGTTCTTCCACTCACACTACAAGGGTATATTTGTACATTTTCCGGCGGTGGTTCATTTCTAACATGTTATATTACACTAGTAGAAAAACCCCGATTCGCGGCGGTTTTAAAACTCCATGTGCGGCGGTTTTGACCGCCACACCGGAACTTGATGCACATTTTACACGCGCGGTGGTTTTTAAGCTAAGAACCGCGCAAATAAAAAATAATTAAAAAAAATTAATTAATTTGTGGCGGTTATTAACTAAGAACCGTCGCATATAATCTAATTAATTATTTTTATATTAAAAATAATTATTTGTGGTGGTTTTGCCGTAATAACTGCCGCATGTAACCTTTCCGACCGGCATTTTCCGTCAACGATGTGTAGCGGTTTGTTCGACAATAACCTTCACATATCTATTTTTTATTTTAAAAATAATTATTTGCGGCAGTTCTGTTGTAATAACCGCTGCATTTCTGGGATATTTTTATAATGTTTATAAAATAGGATAAAAATCGAATTCATTCAAAAAAACCACAAATAATCAATCAAT